TTCTATAACAATAGGTTGCAAGCCTGCTGTTATTGCTTGTTGGATCTATTAATTGATAGTGTTTTGAGTTTGTAGACAAAGTTAATAATCGTCACTAGGTAAATAAATAGAAATAATTTAAAATTTAAGTCATGCTTAAAGGAAAGGTTAATAGCAATAGCATAGCCAGAAAAGATAAGAATATTATATATATAGAAGTTGAATTGTTTGTTTAGCATTATGGCTGTACTAGCTTTAGAGCTATCAGTATATGATCAATAATATAAGAAGTATTTAGATTTTAAAAACTTTGTATTAGTGTTCATACTGGTGATTTTGGTTTTAGTTATGCTTATAATGCTTAAATTGTTGGAGAGACAATAATCTTCTCAAACTTATTGCTTGAGATTGACATTGTATCCCCAGACATTATATGTATATATAGCTATTTCAAATGCCTGATTAGGTGTGATAATTCTTAAATGGTTGAAGGGAGTTTAGATGGTGGTATATTATTATTAGGTATAGTATTTGATCTTGTATGAGAGAATATATTGCTTATATTATTTGACCTAGGGGAGAAGGAGAATTAAAAGAGTGAGTAGATATATTTGTTTTGGATTTTAATAGAATATCATAGGGGTCATATAATATAGAAAAAATATAGTGATTAGGTAGAATATCAGAATCATTTAGTAAGTATATATGTGCTTCTGTTTTATCATTATTAACTGTAATAAGAAGTTAATTTGCAAGATGCTTAGCATTATTTTGTAATAAGTGTTGTCTAAATAAGTTAATTATTTGTAGTTCTCTTAATATAGTATTTGAGTTATTTATTATAGTATATTTCCAAATCATAGAGCTCTAAAGATGTTGATAATAATCTGAATAGACTTTCTTCTATAGGAACGCTCACCAGTTTATGCTCGGCTTTCACAGCTGTAAAGGTTTCTATAGTCTAACATGTATGTTTGGTCTGACTGTCATTATACTGGTCCTTCATGTAATAGGGGTAGCTGATGTTTTGAGAACCACTCTGACCCGAAAGTCTTGAGTGTCTTATCTTCTAATTTTAGACAGTTTACAGAAGAAAGTCTTATAGTAATTGTTTATATTGTTCATATATTATTCTTATTTAAGAGGTTATTTGTTTGTGTTTGAAGTGTTTGTGTATAGTGGTTGTTTGTAACATATTTGGTATTTAGTAATGAGTGTCATTATATAGTCCTACTCTATATATGAGTATAGACTCTTATATAGTCTTATTATATCTGTCTATCTCACCATCAATCAGATACATGCTATACTTGAGATTTGCAAGCAGTTCTTCCTTATTTATATGTATCCAATTAGAGTCAGATACTTCTAATCATTATTGGTGTAACTAAAGAGTACAGTGTTTGCTCTATACCAGTATATCCAATTAAGTTGATATTTTCATTCCACAGAATTTGCAGATTTTTAATAATTCAACAATCATCTTTCAGTTGGAATTGAACTCTAGACCTGCTGCTTGGAGGTAACAACTTGATCACTTCACTAAGTCACTACACCCCAAAATTTTCATTTGCTATGAACAATATAATATTTTTATTATATATACTACTAAAAAAATCTTGCACTTATATAATATAATATGTGACAACTCAAGATCTAGAATAAACTAAAAATGATTTTTTTTTGTAGTCAAGGTTAGTCTCTTTGGTTTCCTGCTTTATTAAATTTAAAGAATCATGTGGTGCCCTTTTTAAAGGGGCCTCAGACAAGTACATTCTGATGAAAGTACATTCTAGCCATATCTGCATCTTTTGAATGCCTAATTAAGTATCTACCTATTACTAGGTTCTATATTAGATGCCATATCTATAAGCCACTATTACTTAATTTAGCTGATTAAAACCTCTGATCTGAGTTTCCTATGTCAATCTATCTAATCTTACTTAGAACATGTGATGCATAAGTTAGTCCAAGTTTTAAGATCATCATGTGCTACCTATAGAACTACTGGTCTTAACCAATTCATCCTTGAGTACATCATCTGCTAGAGCAGTTTGGTATATACTATTACCGTATTATCTAGCCTTCTTTAATAACTTATGCTGAGTCTAAGGACAAGTACTTGCGAGCCGAAGCCACTACAGTTACCTACTGCCACCCTTAAAGAGTTTGTCCAAACCTCAGCACGCACTATACTGACTATTCTCTGTACACCCATTATTTCAAACTTCCAATCCAGATGTCCTGGAAGGGCTGCAACCTGCTCTTGATTACCACAGTTGGGTTCTTTTTTCTCCGGTTACTCTTCAGCAGCCAGTTTAGTAAAGTGCTTTGTCAAACACTTCGGTCCTATTCAGTTTTCCAGTTTACTAATTGATAATCCTTTACGTAGTACTGCTAAAGATCTGTACTACCTCTCTATTTAGGTCTTGCCAGGTGAACTTCTGTGTTCGCTAACTTTAGATTTACACAGCCACTTCACTTGGGTTTTGTGTAACCTATACATTATACTAATATTTTACAGCCTCTCAGTACAGGCTGGTATGACCAAATTACAAATGTCAATCTGTTCATTTACACTTATAGTCGCTATAACACGTTCTGGAATTCAAATTTTCACTGTTGGTAGAATTCAAACTCTGATCACCATTACTTGGAGATGCGACAACTTTAAGTTGCTACACCCAACTAAAAATGATTTAATACATTTAATTTAAACAAATTATTATATAATTCATCGCTATATAAAATTATAATAAATAAAGTTTCTTCATTAAATTCCAAATGATAAAGTCAAAATCTCCTGTAACACATAATAAAGTTATCTTAAATGTAAACTACAAATGAATAAAATTGAACCTATTTATTAATAAAAATAAAACAAAACAATAAATATTTAGCCTTTTTATTGTGTTTTTAGATAATACCAAAAACTCAACTTTGAACTTATAAGTTCAAAAACCTGAAATATAAAACTACTTACCAAATGATGTCTTCATATTTAAGTAAAGCTTTGAGTGTTTGTAATCTGTTTTTAATCTATATTGCTATAAAGTTATTATTACTTTCAAGCTTGTTTTTCAAACTAATTAATTCACCTTTGGCAAGTTAATTAGGAATCTAAACACTTATATTTATTGTACATTAACATTTTTCTAGCTTAACAATTATTTCTAAGTGAAGAATACTTGGGTAAAGTGAATTTCAGAAATACATAAGATATTTAAAGCTTCATTTATGAAGAGTCTTCTGTTATAATATAAATGAGAATTACATTTAAAAAAAAAATTTACTACGTTAAAAGAAAAGTACTCTAAACTGTATAAATTTAATTGAATAAAATTGACCAATCATGAGAAAGTTAGCCTATATCCTTTAACTCCAAATATCTTGGAATTCACTAAGTCAATTTTGATGATTTAACTACTATTAGAACCTGAAAAATCTTCTCTACAATATTACTTAGAAGTCTAACAAACCCTAACTTAATAAAAACTTCTTTAATTTTAAAAAAATTAATTTTTTTTATATTTATATCTTTAAATTCAAATATTTTAAATAATTAAAAATAGAAAACTTTGTGTAACTATGGTGAAAATAGCAATTATCTATAATGAAAATAGTAGATCTCTAAATATATTATATACAAAGTTTTTTATTACATCTATTTCTTTTAAGTGCTTGTGAACTTAATTTGCAAAAGTTCTGTTAATACCTAAATATTTAACAATTTTTTGAATTAATAAGCCCTCTAAAGTTTTTTTCATTTGCAACAAAGATGCTTTAAAAGTAGATATGCATATGTAGTTTTATAATATTCCCTATAAAATAATTTGACTCTGTATTAAATATTTACAGTATGTTTATTGGATATTTATATTTTTTGTATAATAAGCATTTAATTAAACATTATTTTAATGTCACATAATGAAATATTATAAGAATAAACTATATTTGGAAAATTGACACTATTTTGAACAATTTTAGAACAAAAATTTTATAGAAATTTTATAGTAGAAAATATAAACTTATATTTTTGGTTTTCATATCCCGGCCAGGTCAACAAATAGAAATTTAAAATTTTTACTTTTTTAATATATCAACCAATTAAATCCTCTATGCATTTCATGTGACAAAACAAAGTTGAATTATAAATTTCTTGCAAAATAGTGACATTTTCAGTTTCTAATCTTTTTAGCATAACTCTATTATTATATAGGTACTATCTAAATGCTAATTCAGCAATATACTTTATAGTATATAATTAAAAGCATATATACTCAACCTTAATTATCAGTATTCATATATATTTTGAACTGAATTGCACTTGATTTATTTTAAGAAAGAACCTATTTATAGACAGTTATTATATTTAATTCGACTAGTATAATTATCAATGAAACATTAATTAAAATAAGATCATTATAGTATTAGCTGAATAAAAAATACAATTAAAAATAGCATAAAGTATGGGGCTTTGTAGTTGAAAGAGTAGCAAAAATATGATTTAAGATATTTATTATGTTCTGAAATTTGTATTTATTAGTTAATAATTTGGAGTATTTTCATGCTGAAATTTATCTAAATCTTGATTATCATGCCAAAATATAGTTTTAAGATAATGGTCTGTTTGTGAATAAAGTCACAAGTCAGAATATTATTGCAAGTCCATGTAATATCAAGTCACTAGACTTGTATATAACAAAATATTATTTGAGTAACCTAATAATCTGCATTGATTTCTTTATTCTTTAAATTTTCTGCTTGATATTGTGTTAAGCTACGTTGCAAGAACAAGCCATTTTAGTAAGTTTTTTTGAATATAATGGAAGAAACATAAGAGACACCTATTGAAATTAGTAGTGAAGCAGCTATCTCGCAGCTATCTCACAGCTGAAATTAATAATATAGTAGACTAGAACTGTCTATGAACATCAGATTTGGGAGCAATGTGTTTTAAGTGTAGTCTCTGAGATGAAGGTAGTAAATCAAAACTAGTAAACTGCTTAGAGGTTTCTAAAATGAACCAAATTCAAAAAGAACTTGGAACAACTAGAAAAGAAAAAGGGAAATTAGTAGGCCAAGATTTTGATGAAGAGCATGTAAAAAAAAAAGAACCTCTCCTCAGAAGGATTTAATTATCAAAATGAGGCTTTTTTTGCCTATATGGAGAATAGGTTAGAGGAAAAGATCGATGAAAAATTGGGTGCAAAGTCTTGAATAGAAGCTTGTAGCAATGGATAACAAAGATAAACAGAGCAAAAGCAATTAAAACAAGCTTTCTGAAAAGGAAGTAAAAAGAGCACAGGATTAATATGAGTATAATTCAGTGTATAACGCTGTTGCTTCAAAAAGCATTCCAAGAAAACTCAAAAAGAAAACAGCTACATCATATAATCAAGCCAGTCTTTTGTAGTGCATTAGCAATATAGGGAAATATAACAAAAACAAAGGTGAAAAGCAGATCTTATCTAAAAACTAAAGCCACTCTCTGTAAACCAAGTATTGAAATTAAGACTCTTAAGCCTCACAAGTGATGATTCCAAATAGATCTTTCTTCAAGAAAGACAAACAAGTGACACTTGGAGGATAATTACTAGAATAACAAATCTGAGCAAGAATAGAGATGCATTTATTAATGTATTTATATTAGTTTGTTAATATATTTACATTAGAACTTATGGTAACACTTATTATATGGAGTTGTAGAGAAACTTATCGCTAGATGAATAGATATGGAGTTATCTATCTCGCATGATAATTAGATATAGAGAACCACTTGCAAATTTAAATGAATTATTAGAAATTAAAACAAATGATACTGTTGATATTAGAAAAGAAGCTATTTGAAGTATAACTTCACAACCATCTATCCGATATAGATAATAATCAACCTCCTTTTGTTGAAAAAAGTATCATGGAGAAAGATATTATAACTACTCCAATTCTGGCTGGAGATGGGTTGTATGATGACGAGAGGACATGTTCATTGGGTTTTTGGGCGAAATCAATAAACAAACATCTGATTATTTTGTAACTGCAGGACATTGCGCTAAAACAAATAATAACCCGTTTTACCATCGTTCATGGAGCGATGGATCTTTCAACAAAACTTTTATTGGTTACATGGAATTGAAAAGTATAACCTTGCTCAACGTTGGTTTAATCCCTATAAATGATACGGAAATTATGAACCAAATCCCGTGATTCTGTATAAATAAATTCGTGACATAGTCTAGAGCTTAATTGACCCAAGTTACTCGGACCAAATCAAACCACGCCTCAATCGAAGCCTACTAGCTAGGGTATAGAGGAAAGATTTTGCTAAATTTAGTAGATTCTGTGTTGGATTTTAGAGTAAAAGCGACCCCTTGTTAGCTTAGTTTTTATTGTCATACCGGTTTTCACTGTCACACCGTCCAGTCTCATAATGATTGGTCCTAATCAGTCCTGGACCGCAGTCCAGTCTAACTTTTTAAAAGTCTGTCAGTCTTGGACCAAGACGGATTGTACGGACCGATTAACAGCCCTAACTAGAACTACTAGAACTACCACTTAAATCAAGTTTTAATTCAAACTTTCTAACAATTTCCTCTAATGGTACATGTGCAGCAAACGCGCCACCCCCTTTCGGAATTCCATTTAGACTCACATGTTGCAAATCTTGTTTATAAGTAAACATGGGCCCTCCACTGTCACCGGGACCACCTCTTACGGTTGAATAGGTTAATGGATATTGTAAAATACCATTATTATATGTCCAAAATCCATTGAATGCCACTATAAATCCACAAGTAACATGTGAAGTGAAGCCAGACTTACATATATGTGCACCTGTACTGAATACAGCTTCGTCATCAGCGACAATCAACTCTTCAATTTGATCAGAATCAGTGTTTCTTATAACCACTGCTTTATGGATTGGTTTTATAATTTCCGTATCATTTATAGGGATTAAACCAACGTCGAGCGGGGTTATACTTTTCAATTTCACGGAACCAATAAAAGTGTTGTTAGAAGATCTATCATCCCATGAACGATGGAAAAACGGGTCATTATTTGTGTTAGCGCAATGTCCTGCAGTTACAAAACAATTGAATGTTTCGCTTATTGATTTCGCCCAAAAACCCAATGAACATGTCCCCTCGTCATCATACAATCCATCTCCAGCCAGAATTCGAGTAGTTATCATACTTCTCTCCATGATATTTTTTTCAACAAAAGGAGGTTGATTATTATTTATATCAGAAACATTTCTGTGAAGTACAGTTTCGTTATATTGACTAATTTGTTTGATGGCATGGAAAAACTCTCTATTTTGATTATCATGTGATTGTTTCGATTCTAAAAAGATGATATTACTTTGTGTAGAAATGAAACAATTAATTTCAAAAGATTTAGTTTCATTAGCTATATTTAATATTTGCTCAAACACTTGTCTTAATGTTGCTATGGAATTTTTTGCTGGTCGAAAATCAAAGTAATGAAATTGTTGTGGAAAATTTGATGCTAAAGTACGATTAATCAAATCCATTTGATCGTTCAGTACATTAATGTATATTTTATTCCTACGTAGGTTTATGAAGTTCCTTCCTATACTTGTATTATTTCCTTCTAGTAATGCCTGTACGAGTCTATCTAGCTTTATTAAGTTCTTTTCGCGTAACAATAGCTCAGGTAACCCACTATAATTTGCAGCCCATAATTTCGCTAATGGTTCATCATAAGCATGAGCCGTTGGATAGTTTTGTAAAATAGAAATAATTAATAACAAATTAACTAAAAAGGTAATTTTCATAGTTGTAATAGTTTATAATATATAAAAGATTAGATTTTGTCATTAACCAAAGCGCATATTCCAGTATTAAATACTTTTTGTGGGATTTACAAATAACGATAATGGCCGAAAAGTGAAAATAATTACCAATACGGACCCAAATTAAAATGGGTGCTTCTAGGCATCTCTCGCAGGAGATATATATCTCCATAGGGAGATGTATATCTCCTGCCAATAGCGATCCACAATTTAGTGCAACGTAACACGATC